CCTAGTTGTATAATCCTTAAGCAATAAGAACATCTTAAAAGAAGACATCTTGTTTCTTATATAGGTTTAGGCTTCCTTGGCTCAGGCCACAGGAACAAGTCTGCACATGTTTAATTATATAGCTTCTTAGAAATTATGACTTAGTGTGTTCTTAGGAAAGTCACTAGAAAGACTTTTATTATAAACCAATTTCCTGGGAAACCACATGCCCACTTCAGATTTTCTTCCTTGTGTATTTTTGGTTGCTTGGCAAATTTAAATGAATTTGCCTAATCGCTACTTCCTATACATGATCACCCATTTTTTTTTCCTAAACTGTCCACAAACAGACACCCCAGCTGCTTGCAATGACCAAATCTGTAACTGTGAATTTAGGAAAATTTTTACATATTGTTAAGAAAAGGCATTCTAAATTATTAATGGATATTACCCAAATATTTATTACTGAAATACCTGGCCATAAATCACCAGCCAGATAATTCTAGTTGAATATTGAGAAGATCAGCACTACTATAGAGACAGAATCACATACATCGAAGGTCATTTCGGAATTAGTACTCTGTACAATTATGGAATACACTCAAGTGTATAGAATTAGAAAACCATACATTTAACTCTATCACAAATTATTTTTCAAGGATCCCTTAACACTGTATCTATATAACCAGAAAAAAGCCCACAAATAAACAAAACCAAAAACAATCCCAAAACTAAAATAGTCTGGGCATTAAGAATATCTACAAAAATAGATTCTTATTTTTATTATAACTGTTCAAAATAGCTAATATAGCCATATTCACGATCTTTATATTAAAGATTATTAATGAAAAGTGAGAAAGTCAATATTCAGATATTTCCCCATAATTCCAGATATTTGACAAAATATAGGGTAAATTCAGAATATTATCTTGACAGGGATTTCAGACAGATATCTTCCAGTTCTGCCTCCTAGATCTCCTTTTCAAATGCATCACAGTCTTTTCAACATGTCCAAAAGTGAATTCCTAATCTCCCCACAGGGGTTCCTCCCCAGTCTTCCTAGTCTCATAGATGGCACCCTAATCCATTCAATTGCTCCATTAGATAACTGGGCCTCATCCTTAGACATATTCCACATCTAGATCAATAAGTGGTATCAATTATTTCTCCAACATATAGCTCAATTCCATCCATTTTTCTTGACCTTCTGCAAGTAACACCTAACTGATCTCTGCTCCCACTCATGCCCCTTCAATGCATTTTCTTCACAGCAGCCAAATGATCTTCTGAAAATGACTAATTTGATCGTGTCACTCCCATGCTGAAAATTTTGCAATAACTTTTTGCTGCACTTGAAATAAAATAACAAATCTTCAAATATGGTCAACAAGGCTTTGCATGATCTGGCGCCACTTACCTTGACAATATCATTTCACATCATTCATTAACCTGTCATTAAACACCCGTCACAATTGACTTCTTTCAGTTCCTAGAAGGTATCAAGATCTTTTCTACTTTAGGGCCTTCATACACACATGCTTTTACTTCTGTCTGGATGCTCTCCTCCACTCTTTATCTGGCTAACTTCTATTTTTATTTTTCCTTCAAGGTCTAGCTTAAGTGGAACTTCCTTTAAAAAGTCTTCTTTGACCCTCTATTTGATTGGCCACATTATAATTTTTTACGTTCATTCTAGCATGTTTCCCAGTTTATATTATAGGTATTTTCTACATCAGGCTATCATCTTCTTGAGCAAGAACTATTTCTACTTTTTTCATGAATCTCCATTGTCAGCCTCTGTGCCAGGAACATAATAAATACTTAATATTCCTTGAATCATTGAAGGACTAAATTGATGAAGAAATCCAGTTAGTTCTATATTATACATGCATAACTGAGGCTAGTTAGCCCAGTTGGCTAGAGAGTTGATGGACTATAGAGAATGCCCACATGCTCAACAAAGGGTAAAAAAGGACCTGTGGGCATGTGTTAAAATTTTAAATGTTCTGGAGCATTTTGGCTCTCCTGGTCAAGATGAATTATGACACACGCTCCATCACAGAGCTGATTTCATTTTGCCTTGCATTAAAGTTGGTTGACTTTATGTCTTTCTCTACCATGAGAACTTTCTGAGTTTTCCATCAGAATCACATCTGTTTCATCTCAGGTACATGAGAGTTTCCACAGTGTGAGCTAAACATTGGTAGAAATTTATTTAATTTAATTTAATTTATTTATTATTTTATTTATTTTTTAAAAAGGATTTTTATTTAATCATTGTTTGTTTGTTTGCCAGAGAGAGAGAGAGAGAGCAAGCGAGTACAAGCAGGGGGGGCTGCCAGGCAGAGGGAGAAGCAGGCTCCTCGCTGAGCAAGGACCCCAATGAGGGACCCGATCCCAGAACCCTGGGATCATGACCTGCGCTAAAGGCAGACACTTAACCAACTCAGCCACCCAGGCATCCCAAGAAATTTATTTTAAATATATCGTCATTCACAAACAAAGAATTAAAAGGTGCCAAGTGAAGTTAACATTGCAAGGTAACATCATATTTAGTGCAGAATCTAATTTAATTATTCAATTAACTGATTCAGCACTTCCTGTGGTTAAGGCACTGGGAAAGGCATTAGGAATTTAAACAGTGACAAATACCTTTTCTTTTCTTGTATATCCATAAACTTTATATAGAAAAACAAATCCCCATCAGTGACCTCTGGATGGTGACAATACAAAAATGTCTGACTGACTTCAGCATAATCCCAACAGGACTAACAGGCCCACACCCCTCTACAGGGATGTGGCAGGAGCCTGCTTCCTGGGATGTGAGGTTACTTCTAATACTAGCATTCGTATGCCATGCACTTTTGGGTTATTGCCTGGGTATTCTTGGTGGATTATGCTCACCTATCCCCACTTCCCCCATTTTATGTCCTAGGGCAATTCCTGTCCTACTCCCTGCTCAAAGGAGACAAAAGTTCAGACTGAAATAAACCAGCTAGAGGGGGCCCTGGTATCAAAGATCCCCAAAATCTGTTCCCGCTAAAATTAAGGAGTTTTGGCTATGGATTCCCTACAACCTTGAAGTGCTCTGCTGAGCAGCTAAAGGTCATCGAGTGACACAACTAGCAGGAGGTCTGCTAATAGATGCTTTTGCTGAGTGCTTCAAACTGGTATTCACTTTAGAGCTGTGCTGAATAATTGCTGTTAACTGAATTGCAGAAATACCTATTTGTTATTTATAAATAGTATACATTTTTAATAGAAATAGTGTGATGCTTAAATTGTTTATCTTTAAAGCACCTTGCAAATATTATTTTAGTAAATGTGCAGAGGTTAGAAAGTCTTTTCTTTCATACTACCAGACATTGTGGTATACTTTACTTCTTTTTTTTTTTTCAGATTTAATTATGTAATTTTAATGCATTTGAATTTAGCCCACGAAGCATCTTTGTATATTTTCCTTACATTACCAAGCACTTGTAACAAAGACTGAAACTATTTGTAGTAAAACATACTACAAATAACATGTATATATAGGTAATATTTGTTTGGCAGTCAATTTGGGCCAGCCACTATTCTAAATACTTTATGTGAATTGGCTCATCTAGTCCTCACATTTCTAGGGGGCAAATACTATTATTATCTGCATTTTGTAGATGAGAAAATTAAGGCTCAGAGAGGTTAAGCAATTTGCTCAAGATCAAACAGCTAGTGAGCTGCAGAGTAGCACTTTGGCTCTGGAGGCTACACTTTCAACCAGCAAGATTTAGTTAAACATTTAATTCTCATAAACCCTGTGGGACAGATACTACCATTATGACCCCCATTTAATAATGAGGGGATTGGTCCAACCAATATCACTCTGCTGGTAAGCGGCTGAATCAGACTTTTAAACTCAGTCCTGTCTGACTCTTGGGTCTGAGATCTTAAATACCAGCCACTACTACCTCCTAGAGAAGGCAGAGTACTTACTTCCTTTTTAATCCCATCTAGCATTAGAGATTAAGTAGATTTTAAGGGAAAGAGAAATGATTTACTCAAATAATACAGTAACTATCCAGTTATAATCTTCAAAAATATTTAAAATACTGTTAAGCTAATTATTGAATTTTTCTAAAATATTTGAAATACTCTTAAGCTAATATTAAATGTCATCATTCTGAACAGCAGAGCCCAAATGACTATTTTTTTTTTAAAGATTTTATTTATTTATTTGACAGAGAGAGACACAGCAAGAGAGCGAACACAAGCAGGGGGAGTGGGAGAGGGAGAAGCAGGCTTCCCACCAAGCAGGGAGCCTGATGCGGGGCTCAATCCAGGACCCTGGGATCATAACCTGAGCTGAAGGCAGACGCTTAATGACTGAGCCACCCAGGCACCCCCCAAATGACTATTCTTAAAAATTAGTGTAATAACTCATCTCACTGTTCGTGTGATTTCCCAGAGTAACCGCGATTACCTCAAGAGATTTGTGAGCATTTAAAAAAAAAATAAATTTTAACTTATTTTTACTATTGCAAGTATAAAATGTTGTGTAGTACTTGTTGGGTGTAATACATGAGAGTAATACAATCAAAACAAATCACAAGAGTATTATAAAAATACAATAACTGTTATTTCAGGATAGACTAGTTTAATTACTATCATTCATATTACTCTTTTACTAAATGAGTAGTCACCATTTATATCTTAAAAATGAGAAGGAATGTACATGCCAGCCAAGTCATGATGATAAAGTAAGATTAAAAGTTTATAGAAAAATGCAGACGGTTTATATTTATAAGAACATTGCTTATAAGGACATTCCTATATAAATCTGTCCTTTCTTTCTCTGAGTTCATATTTAGAGTATTGATTTCCTTGACCTGTAAAAACCAGTATTGCACGATCTCAAATCTCTAGGTGAGCACTGAATGTCAGAGCATAAAAGGAGAGAGTACATCATCGGTGAATTATGCCATACATTTTAGCCAAATGGTTTGTACAGGTGTCTCATTATGAGTCATTTATGCTTGTATTACCTTTAGGCCCTTTGAACAGTTTGATCTCCACAACAGTTTCCAGAATGGGTCGTCTTCTGCGCACGTACAGCCGAACGATAGACCCAGCTTCCTTGAGAGCTTCCACGGCTTTACTGTGGGAAACCTCTGACACATCAACCTCGTTCACCCGCAAGATACAATCATTGACCCTGGAAGAGAGGGAAAGAAGGAAAACTGAGGGTTGGCTGGGAGGATTTCTTAAAGCATATTATCATTGTTAGCAAAACTTAAGAAGCAGGAAAGCAGAGTATGAGCAATTTTAAAATGTTTTTGTTTGGAAGAAACAATTCAAACGAAGGAAACGTTGAACTCCCCAGCCTTCCCAGCCTTTCCAAAAGGACTGCACTACTGGTCAGGCCCCCCTGGCATCCCAGTGCCCTGGCATGGGAGCACATGGTACATGGTGCAAGTTAGGACGACGACACATTTTGAGGTCCCTGTCAGTTACATCATTATTTTTTTTTTTAAAGATTTTATTTATTTGTCAGAGAGAGAGAGAGAAAGCACAACCAGGGGGAGTGGGAGGCAGAGGGAAAAGCAGGCCCCCTGCCGAGCAAGGAGCTTGTGGGATGAGGGATGTGGGACTGGATCCCAGGACTCTGGGATCACGACCTGAGCCAAAGGCAGACGCTTAACCAACTGAGCCACCCAGGCGTCCCATATTTTGATTGGTTTTAACTGAGTTGACTGAGGGTTATTATTGCAGTGGTTCTCAGAACTTACTATGGACTATACAGACATCACAAATGTAAACTTAAAGATTAATTTTTTTGAATTTTTAATTTGCTACTTAAAAAGGTAATATATAGTCATTTTAGAAAATCTGAAAAATGTAACCATGTAGAAAGAAAAAAAGATATACATGACCCAATCATCTAAAATAAATGCATTAGCTTTCTGGTAAACTATCTTCCTGTGTTTTTTTTTTTCTTCCCCCCTCAAATTCGTATCACAGTATTAGAGATATTGAAGTTCAGATTTCACAAAATTGAAAGAAAATCTCAGATAATCTTTGCCTTAGGTATTTACTTTGAAAACCAATAATTATGGTAACTAAATGCTCCTTTCTGGCATTTTCGGAAGGGATAATTTGACTTTTCTACAAAACTGTCCAGGTAATAGATATTTATGTAGCCACAGACTTCAAATCTCTTTTATATTCATGATAATTAGTAAAAACTTTAACAATGATTAAAAGTATGAGGTTTGAGACTAGAAAGATTTCTTTCCTTTATTTTGAATATCCACTCTAGTATTGCCCATCTCAGTTCATTTGTTGCTCAGAGTAAGAAATAAGGGGCTACCCTTGCTTGACTTCCTTATCCCACCAACATACATTCAGCTCTACCTGCAAAGTCTATCTGCAATCCATCCACGTTTCTTAATCTGCACTGCTACCACCCTGGTTGATATCAACATCATCTCCCACCTGGATTATTTCTACAGGCTCCTACCTACTCCCCCGGGATCCTCTCTTGTCAACTTTTAATGCATTCTCCACACAGTGGACAGGGTAAAGTGAACATGATTTGTTGCTTATTCACCTTCCATTCCCCATATCCTTCTTCCCAACTGTGCCTGATTTGCTCAGGACATCCACTCCTTAGCAAATATTTGTTAAATGAATGAAATAATAAGCCTAAGCTCAATTACTAGGCCTTCCATTTCCTAAGTTGTTAAACACTGATAATTAGCCTCTTAGCCTCTATGTTCACATCTATAAATAGATACAATAGTAATATCTATAATAAAGACTTATGGGGAAGATTAAATGAGATAATGTACATGTAAGTCTTTAGCAAGGAGTCTGGTATGTAATAAGCATCTAATAAATGGTTATTGGTAGCACTGGAAATTTTGATTTATAATATTTTAACTATTAGATCCTTTCCATAATCTTGTGAATAAGACATTATCCACATTACAGAAATGAGAATTGTTCCTAGTGATCAAGTTCTTTGTCTAAAGCTGTCAGCAATTTGGGTAGAAATTGGATATGACCTTAGGTCTTCCAATTTCAAAAGCTGGCGCTCTCCTCTTAGGGATCACAAAATATCTAAATGTCGTGAACAGTTTCATGTATATTGTGCACGTCAATTCAAAATTATAACATGGTAGTGAAAATATTATGCAAAAAGTATGGGAAGAATTTTTCTATCATTTTTTCCCCCATAAGTTCTCTATACCTGTTTGGGGAGCTGAGTTATAGAGACTCTTGTCTCAGTGAGAACCCTAATTAGCTTCAGAATTCTGAGGTGAAACATTTCACTTATTAAGATTCAGTGATGTCATTTCATCTTAACAGATGCTACAGCTTTAAAAGGTTTACACATACATTTCCTCTCTGACCAAAAAAAAAAAAAAAAAACATGGAAAATTACCAATTAAAATAGTTTTGAGAATGTAGGCAACACGGGTGCCAGCCGCCCTACAGCAGCTGGTCCTTTGAGAGTGGGTAATTTTGTCATCTCATGATAATGCAAACACATAGTGTTTACCATCACCCTATGCTCAGAATATTAATCATATCTTAAAACACTGCTTTCCAGAGAAGGGAGTGGCTGACATTTAAAAAAAATTACGGATGCTATATCTATTCAAACTGTGCTAAATTTTTCCTTTTGTATACAGTGGAATCCTTAATTGTCAATTGCAGGGGTGAGGGTGAGAGTGCAGCCTAAATCAGATGTTTTTTCTTGAACATGTGGAGGAAGAAGGCAACTTTAGTGCAGTAAAAACAGCACTGGACTAGCCTTCAGGATGCTTGGATTGGAGTCCCAGCTGCGTGACCACGGTCAAGTCATTTCATCTCTTTGAACCTCAGTCTCCCGTGAAAGGAGAGAAAATGTGCCTAGAGTTAATGAGAGGAGTAAGCAGACAGGCAATGCATCTGGGTGTGTGTGTGTGAACTGTAGAGTACAGTACATATGAGAGCTGCAGCTACTGATCAAAGATGAGTCAAAGATGCTGTGCTCAAGGACATACTGAAAGGTGAACTGGATGGAAATGGAAATTTTAAGAGGGCTTCCAATGTGCCGTATCATTGTAGCCACCTCATTTATTCACTGGTACTTAAACCCCACCATTTCTGAAACACAGATTCTCATTCTACAGATGATGAAATTTACTGACAAGGTCACAGTGGTGTTGAGGACACGGACATGATTCCAACCTGGTTTGGCCTTTTTCTGGAGCCTATGCTGATATAGAGGTCCTCAGAATGGATTGTTTTAAATTAAAACAAACGGGGCGGGGGGAGGAGCAAATGGCAGAGGAGTAGGAGACCTGGATTTCCTCTGGTCCCAGGAATTCAGCTAAATAGGGATCAAACCATTCTGAACACCTACAAACTCAACAGGAGATCAAAGAAAAGAATAGCAGCAACTCTCGGAACAGAAAAGTGACCACTTTCTGGAAGGAAGGACGTGCAGAGAAGTGAATCCGAGGCGATACTCGGGAGGATAGACGGCAGGGGAGGGGGCCTCCGTCCGCCGCTTCTGGCAAGTGATAGAGCCCCGGAGCACAAAATCAGAACTTTTAGAAATCGGCTCCGCTGAGGGACATCTCTCCAGTGGCTAAGCGGGAGGTGGAAACCTCACGGGACAGTGTGGTCTCAGGACCCTCGGGGTCACAGAAAGACTGGGGGTGCCTGAGTGCGGCAGAGCTCCCAGGTATCGGAGCAGGGAAGCCGGCTGCAGAGACAGAGCCGAGGAGCGGACTTTCAGCTCAGGGTTGCCATAAAGCGTGATCCGCGGCACAGTCGGGCCACTGCTCCTCCAGCAGGGACCCAACAAGGGGCAGATCCGGGGAGACTCCCCTTCCTCCCCTGGGAGGAGCGGCAGGGGAGCACACCGCAGGAATCAGCTGGGTTTGGAGACTCCACACGGGGTCGGGTGCCAGAGATAGAAATGCTCGGTCACAGGCCGGGTGAGCACGGAGTGCGGCCGGAGACCAGGGAGACAGGAGTGACTGACTGCTTTTCTCTGGGGGCTCACTGAGTGGGGCCCTGAGTTCTCAGCTCCTCCGGGGCAGAGATTGGGAAGCCTCCATTTGCACTCTCCTCCTTCAAAGCTGTACCTAAAGCTTGCAGGGGACAAAAGCTCCTGAGAGCAAACCCGAGCAGATTACTTAGCCCGGACCGGCAAGGGCGGGGCAATTCCGCCTCCGGCAAAGACATTTGGGAACCACGGCAACAGGCCCCTCCCCCAGAAGATCAGCAAGAACAGCCAGCCAAGACCAAGTTTACCAATCAATGAGAACAGCAGAACTCCAGTGCTAGGGGAATACTGCACATAGAATTCATGGCTTTTTCCCCACGATTCTTTGGTCTTTCAAAGTTAATTTTTTTTTAACTTTTTCTTTTTTTTTTGAATTTTTCTTCTTCCATTTTACAACCAACATCTTATCAATCCCTTTTTTAAAAATCCTTTTTATTTTTCATTTTTACAGTCATATTCTATCCCTTCATTGTAGTTAACCTTATTTTTGATTATATATATATATATAAGTTGTTCTCTCTTTAAAATTTTGGGATACAATTTCTTCTACCAGACCAAAATATACCCTAAATCTCTAGTGTATAGCTTTGTTCTAGTCTCCTGCCTGATCACATTATCTCCCTTTTTTTTTTTAAATCCTCTTCTTTCTTTTTTCAACCAGCTTCTTATCTTATCAATTCCTTTTATAAAATCTTTTATAATTTTCATCTTTACATTCATATTCCATCCCTTCAACGTATTTAACCTTATTTTTGTACATATATAAGTTGTTCTTTCTTTAAAATTTTGGGAGGCACTTTCTTCTAAGAGACCAAAATACGCCCAAAATCTAGTGTGTGGCACTGATCTATGCACCAACCTGATCATATTTGATCATATTCTGTTTTTTGTTGTTGTTGTTTGTTTTTATCTTTTTCTTTCTCTTTTTTTCCTCCTTTTTCTTTCTTTCACATTCTTTTCCCCTGGTTTCAGGTCTATTCTGATTTGTTTAGTGTATATTTTTCTGGGGTCGTTGATACCCTGTTAGCATTTTATTCTCTCATTCATCTATTCTCCTCTGGACAAAATGACAACATGGAAAAAATCACCTCAACAGAAAGAACAAGAGGCAGTACTGACTGCCAGGGACCTAATCAATATGGACATTAGTA